CTGGCTTGTATGAAATAATTTCACATTTGTTTCATCATCATCTGTGATGTAACCTCTTTTGGTTTTGCTGGCTTTCCTTTATTCACCACCTGCACAGATCATCCCAAAGTTACAGCCCCATTTTCCCTCAAGGTATTTGCTAGGGCACTTACATCACCCAAAGCATTTGTGACTGCTGATATAATCAAGGGTTTTAGTGAGGCAGGCACCTCTCTCAAAAGTTGCATTTTGATACTTCTCGTTACTGCTACCCTGTGTGGCCTTCCACCCTCAAGGGGAAGTGAGCAGAAAAATTCCTAAATGTTCATGGTTGAAAGGAACAACAGAAGTCAGAGAGACTGCAAAAACTCACAAAGTTTTCTTAGCAAATTACACACTTGGCATGGAAATTGGTATGTCAGTCCCTGACCTACTATATAAGCACACAGCAGTGGGTTTGGATAAAGGGGTAGGGGGAAAGGGAAGAGAAAGAAGAAGAGATAAATTAAAGAGGATGAGAGAGAAAGAAAGAGAGAAAAAGATCACCAGTCCTGGTTCCATTGTTGATCCAACTGATGGGATATCCAGGCCCCTGGGGGCACCCCCTAGGCTTGGGAGGGGTTACCTTTTTATGGATAGGTTTCCCGGCCCCAAAGACAGGTTTCTCTCTTTCTATGTAAATTAGTTCACATACACAGTCCATTCTTTCAGGCCTTTCTGGAAATGGGTTGGTGGCTTTGGGGGTCTTTGGTGGTCTTGATCCCCTCCCCATGCCCACTCCTTAGCCTCATTCCTGCGCTTGCACTCTACTGTGTTGTGCTTATCTCCATGAACTAGAAAAAGAATGTTTATTCCAGAAAAGTGCTGCCCTACCTCCGCATGGCCCCTTCTCCAGCCACATCTTGTTCTTTCTTATTTGGTTTAAGTTGGGTGTTCTTTAAGAGTAGTGGGAGAAATTATCTTATGGTAAAATGCAGCATCGTTCTGCATACTGACTTGCCTGCCATAAATGGCCTGGGAATCTATTTAGGAACTGAAAGCAAGTGTTAGTGTTCGTGGACAAATGCTCTGTTTCCATAAACAAATTGTTTAGGTTGTGTTATCCTGTCCCTAGATGATGTACTATGTTGTATTTTTCTTGTTCTAGCTGTACTTCATAAAAAGGGCTTATTTTATCTATGATGCACAAGTTTTCTTCTTGAGCACACATTCATTTAATACCATATCTGTGATGCTTTTCCTGTAATCCTCAGCATTTTCCTTGTCTGGTGACTGATTTGGTTTCATGAATTGGCAATAAAAGGAAAAACTAGCAATTTTTATTTTTTTAAATTTAGTTAGGGGTTTCCTTGAGAGCTCATGTAATGTAGCATGTCTTCTTGAAAGTGGGTCTTCAATTTTAACAGTGGTGGCAGCCTGCTGTCGAGGTAGTTGAATTCGCTCTCCTACTTACAGAAACACAGAATATGCTGAGTTGGAAGGGACCCACAAGGATCATCCAGTCCAACTCCTGGCTGTGCACAGGACCATCCCCAAAAGTCACACCACGTGCCTGAGAATATTGTCAAAATTCTTCTTGAGCTCTGTCAGGCTTGGTGCTGTGACCATTTCCCTAGGGAGCCTGTTCAGTGCCCAACCATCCTCTGGGTGAAGAACCATTTTCTAATATACAACCTAAGCCTCCCCTGACACAACTTCAGGCCATTCCCTCAGGGTCTATCACTGGTCACCACAGGGAAGAGATCAGTGTCTGCCCCTCCTCTTCCCCTCACAAGGAAGTTGTAGACTGCAATGAGGTCTCCCCTCAGTCTCCTTTTCTCCAGGCTGAACAGACCAAATGACCTCAGCCACTCCTCATATGGCTTCCCCTCAAGGCCCTTCACCATCTTTGTTACCCTCTCTAATGGCTTCATATCTTTCTTATGTTGCAGAGACCAAAACTGCACACAATATTCAAGGTAAGGCCGCCCCAGTGCAGAGTAGAGTGAGACAATCACCTCCCTTGCCTGACTGGCGATGCTTTGCCTGATTGCCCCCCAGGACACGGTTGGCCCTCCTGGCTGCCAGGGCACTGCTGATTCATTCAACTTGCTGTCAACCAGGACCTCCAGGTCCCTTTCTGTGGCACTGCTTTCCAGCATCTCGTTCCCCACTCTGTCCCTACATCCAGGGTTGCCCCATCCCAGGGGCAGAATCCAGCACTTGCCCTTGTTAAACTTCCTATGGTTGGTGATTGCCCAGTCCTCTAATTTGTCAAGGTCTCTCTGCAGGGCCTCCCTGCCTTTGAGGGAGTCAACAGCTCCTCCGAGTTTTGTGTCATCTGCAAACTTGCTTAGTATCCCTTCCAGTCCTGCGTCCAAGTCATTTATCAAGATGTTGAAGAGCACAGGGCCTAAATGGAGCCCTGTGGAACCCCACTAGTGACAGGTCACCAGTCTGATGTCACCCCATTCACTATTACTCTCTGTGCTTGACCCGTGAGCCAATTGCTCACCTATTGTATGATGTGCTTATCCAGCTGTGGGCTGGACAGTTTGTCCAGAAGGATCCTGGGAGAGACAGTATCGAAAGCTTTACTAAAATCCAAAAAAGATTACATCAACTGGCTTCCTTTGATCAACCAGGTAGGTTACCTTGTCATAAAAGGAAATCAGGTTCGATGAGCAGGACTTTGCTCTTGTGAAACTGTGCTGGCTGTGATCAGTGACTGCATTATCCTTCAGGTGTTTTCAGCACCACCCAAATTAATCTTCTCCATAACTTTACCAGGCACTGAAGTGAGACTGACAGGCCTGTACTTTCCAGGGTCCTCCTTCTTGCCCTTCCTGAAAATTGGGATGTTCGCCAGCTTCCAGTCAAGTAGTATCTCTCTGGATTCTCAAGACTGCTCAAAAATCATTGAGAGAGGTTTTGTGATGACATCAGCAGTTCTTTGAGGATTCTGGGATGAATCCTATCAGGCCCCAGAGATTTGTAAGGGATCCAGCTGGAGCAGCAGATCCTGCACAATTTCAGGGTCAACAGGGAGTAGATCATTCTTGCAGTCATGGTCCTGGAGCTCAGGGCACTGAGACCCTCTTGGCCCAGCATCGGTGTTGAAGACAGAGGCAGAGTGTTAAACACCTCTGCCTTGTCTCTGTCCTTGTTTGTGAGGTGACCACCTTCATCCTGTAATGGGCCAATGATATTTCTATACTGCCTATTGCCATGGGTATATTTGTAAAAACTGTTTTTATTGTCCGCCACATTTCTGACAGCTTCAACTCCAGCTGAGCTTTGGCTGTACGAATTTTCACCCTACAGTGGCAAGCAACATCTCTGTATTCTCTCCATGTCACCTGACCTTGCTTTCACTGGGCATACAGCTTCCTTTTTTGCCTTATTTCCAAGAGAAGATCCCTGTTCAGCCAAGCCAGCCTTCTGCCTCACCTGCTTGACTTCCGACATTTGGGAATTGCTTGCTCCTGTGCTCTTTAGGAGGTTTGAAAAGTGACCAGCACTGGTGGACCCCAGCTTCAGGGAAAACATTTTCCAAGGGGACCTCACTCACTAGTTCCTTGAGCAGCCTGAAGTCTTCTCTTCTCATGTCCAGAGTTGAGGTTTTACTGGCACTTTTCCTCCTGTCAACAGACATTTTAAACTCAATCTCTTTGTGGACACTGTGGCCAAGACGGCCACCAATCCCCACTTCACTCATGAGATCCACTCTGTTGACAAGCAGCAGATCAAGGAGGGCATCTTTCTGAGTGGACTCTCTTAGGACCTGTTCCATAAAGTTGTCATTCAGATTTTTTAGGAATCTTCTGGTCTGGGTTGTACCAGCTGCGTGATGCTTCCAGGTAATTTCTGGCAAGTTGAAGTCCCCCATAAGGACAAGGACAGTTGATTTGTTGGTGTCCCTTAGTTCCTCAAAGAATAATTCATCGGCATCATAATCCTGGCTGGGAGGTCTATAGTAGACTCCCATGGTGACATCTGCATTATTTGTTTGCCCCTTGATTCTTACCCAGAGGCTCCCCACTGTGCCATTGCCAACTGTGAGCTCCATACATCCTAACCCTTCTATTACATACCGTGCCACCCCTCTGCCTGTTCTGCCCTGCCTGTCCTTCCTGAAGAGCCTGTAACCATCCAACAGGGCACTCAAGTCACAGTTCTCATCCCACCAGGTTTTACTTATGCCAATTAAGCCAAATCTCTGGGACTGGGCCAAAGCTTCGTGTGCCTCTTGTTCCTCACGCAGTGTGCATTACTGTAGAAACATCTCAGGTGTGGTCCATTGTAGCCAACACCTCATGGGGCAAATTGAGGGATCCCATGAGTGCTTGTTTCTTCAAGTTTTGGCACACCATCCCGTCGCCTATCACTGGCAAGCCTGATTTTGTCCCTTTCCCCCTTCCGAGCCGGTTTAAAGCTCTGTGAACGAGCCCTGCTGACTCCTGTGCTAGAACTCTTTTTTCCCTCTGAGATAAGTGCATCCCATCAGGTGTCTGTAGACCAGATGTTGAGTAGATCATCCCATGGTCAAAAAACCCAAAATATTTTTGATTACACCAACCTCTGAGCCACTTATTGACCTGATGGATCTGCCTATTCTTATCAGTATTATTCCGTGTTGCCAAAAGGATCAAGGAAATCACTACCTGTGCTCCTGATCCCTCTACCAATTGTCCTGTGGCCCTGAAGTATTTTTTGCTTGCCCTTGGACTTCTCTTTATTATTTTGCCACTGCCAGTTTGACAACCAATAGTAATCAGAGGGCCTTAATAGGCTGGAGAGTCTTCCAGTAATGTCCCTTACCCAAGCCTCTGGAAGACATAGTCTTGCTGCAAGATTTCTGAGGATTAGGTTTAAAGTTTGTTCTTACATATCCAGTTCATCTTCTAATGATAAGAATTGTGGGAGAAATTAAAGTAGAACAAATGGTGTACCATCTGGTTTTCTACCTCCCCAAAGATAATGGGGATAATGTGGAATTCTTACATCTTAACTGTGGTGTTTCTTGGCCTTGTTTCTTGCAGTTGGTAAACATGAATTAACTGGGCATAAAGTTGCAGTGAAGATCCTAAATCGACAGAAGATTCGCAGCCTTGATGTTGTAGGAAAAATCCGCAGGGAGATCCAGAACCTCAAACTCTTCAGACATCCTCATATAATTAAACTGTAAGTTTTGCTTGCTATAATCAAATCTATTTAAACAGTAATCCCTTGCTCTCACTGATCTGAAACATGTTTAAAGGGCAATGTTATTAGCAGTATATTTTTAGGAAAGCAACCAGTTTTCAACTATGTAATTATTTTTTATGTACTTTGTAATGCATTTTCACAAAACTGATTTTTCTGCAGGGCAGAGGTCTTCCATTAGATCTTGACTTAAAAATTCTTTGGGCAGGTATATAGAGGGTAGCAGCTTATAGTAACATCCATCTCAGTTTTTTTAGCTGCTGCTTCCATTTTCTTTTTTCTGGTTACGTTTGATCTTTCTGCTTAGAAACTGATTCAGAACAAGATTGTAAAGGGTAGTTCTATAGTAAATTTATTGTATTTTCTTTACTCAAAATATTTTTTAGTGATGTTTTTCCTATGTAGATGGTACTCTGCAAGTTTTTCTGAAAGATGTGCAGTCTGTTAAATGCAATCTCATATTTCAGAGGTCTTCAGTATAGCTGTTACTGCTTAACTAAATAAATGTGATATTTACAGTGTGCCTATTTACATCTGTTTGATCATTAGCTCATCAGCAGAGTTTGGAGTACAGTTAAATATGTCTCAGAGTAGACACCTTGTATCTGAGGAAATAAATTATAAATGCTATTGACTTTTTTACTTTTCCTATAAAGTCAACCTGCACATCTAGCAGGGCACATCTAGAATGTGGGTGACTTTCGCTGTTAATTGTGGTGTTGCAGTTTAGGTTTTCTTTATTGTCAGTCTTTTCTTAAGACCATGCTTTCACTGACATATGCCATCCCTATGCACTCATTTGGCAACAGCACTTATACTGGAGCTAAACTGGGTTCTGTCAGATCACAATGACTTCTTCAGTGGGTCAGTTTTCAGAAGACTATTGAGCTGATTTGTCTGGCTGCAGAGCTGCTAGTGCTGCCAGTTAGAATTCATGAATGAGTCCAAAGTACATACCTGAAGCTAAAACAAAATAGGAAGTGTCAGTGTACCAATTGAGATATTTGGGGTGGAACAGGAATGTGTACTTCTGGTGCTGCTGAACTTTTAAGTCAACTTAACAGGTTTTAGGTTGCAATTTATTTCTCGGGGAATTATGGGGCGAATTTTCACTTCTGCATGTTGAGAGAAAGGACAAGATGAAGGAGATGCTTTTCAGTTGTTCAGCCTGCATTTCCAAAACAGAAGGGTTATTATCCTGAATGTAAATAGCATTTGAGTTATAATTGATACTGTTGTGTAGGTAGACTTGCTGGTGACTTTGGATCATGCTGCTTGTGCTATTAGCTGGATTGGGGAACTGCTAGGTAGCAGCTCAAGATATTTGGCATAAAGGTAATCAGATTATTTCTGCCGAATATTACAAATAAGACAATGTCTAATTTGGAACATTGTGCTTTATTAAAATTTTCATACAATGCTTTAGCAATATATACAGTTACAAGTCTGCCTCAATAAGATTTTCTTTTTATACCATACTTTTAATAAAAACCTTTGGAGCATCTCCTTTTGTGGATTTTGACCTCTAGCAATCTAATGCATTTTGTTTTCCTATATAAATTGCCTCTTTGTACATTCTGGTCATCTGTGCTGTGTGGTTTGATAACCTTACTTATAGGCATGTAATTGTTTCACAACCTCCTTTTCCATAACTAGAAAAATGAACTGACTATAGTCTTCCAAGATGCTGAAAACGTGAGGTGCAGAATGGCTCATTCTTTTCAGTGATGCTAAGAGATGTATCTCCCAGCATTGTTCATTATCTCACTATCCAGAGGATGGAAAATCACTGTGAAGATCTCAAATATAAACTGTTGATTATGTTTGCCTGAAGCTGTTTTCACAACTATGAGAAAGGTCATTAACAGTAAGGGTGTTAAAAATGAGGTTACACTGTAACTTTTGGATTATTTCTGTAGTGTCGTAGTGACAACTTCACAATGTTCAAATACATGACATACTTTCAACCAAAGTATTTGAGAGAAAATTAGTAGAGGTAAAGCATCTTGGACTATAAGATGTTAGGTAAAGTTAACTTTGAAAATAACCTGAATACTATTCTGAGGTAGTTATTGGAATATTACACTACGATACTAAGCTGTTTAAATACATACACACACATATATATATGTGTGCACGTACATTCACCTGAATAGACTGAACTCATTGCTGTCAAGAAAACCTTGTCTTTGTAAGCTGGAGTGTCTGTTTTTTTCCCCCTTGTCTTAGAATCAACATTTTGAAGAACATTTCAGTTCTGTAGTGTATGTGTGAATTCAATTATTCTTTTACAATTGGGATATTTGTATGCTTGAGTGTAGTACCTTGGAACATTTTTTTTCATCCAACTGCTACGTCCTGTCTTCTTAATATAGTATCTGAATTTTTGACTGAAGGTTTACCAGTGTGCATTTTCTTGTTATGTTAAAAATTGGTCACTTCTGACTGCTGTAAGGGGGGAAAAATTAAACAGCCTTTAGGTAAAGATACGTAAAAAACATATCAATCTCTTAAGTGGGGAGTTTGAACATAAACTAGTTTTTTCAAAACCTCAAAGCTAACCTTAAAGTATAGTGATAAAAATATAATGACCAGGGTGTCAATACTCTTAAACACTAATGACAAACGTAGATCTCTTTGTAAAAGATAATCGCTCATCTTCATGAATATTTTTTCAAGTCTTGAAGTACACTTTTTTTATTTATGACAAGGCAAGGGTTTTTTGCCTGTTAAAGTTGAAGGGTGTGTGCTTTTGAGACACTAGCAAAGTCCTTTTCAATTCCTTCCTCACTGCACTAAAGTGTCTGTGAGGCAGTACTGTATATGGCTTCACAGAAATAATTTGGACTGATAATAGTCCTCTGAAAGTACAAAGACCCATCTTCCTGGTGGGAAATACAAATTCCCTGCTAGTCTTGGCAATGATAGCATCACATAGTAAAAGGAGAGGAAATAGCTTCTAAAAAATATTATCATTCCAGTAGCTGTAAATGAGCTGTTAATTTTTTTTAAAGTATACTTTTATCTGACTCTTTGCACAACTTTAGTTTTAACTAAATGTAACTAGCTGCTTTAACTGAGTGCACAGACTAACAGATACTTATTCTTATCAGGTACCAGGTCATCAGTACACCAACTGACATTTTCATGGTGATGGAATATGTTTCAGGAGGAGAACTGTTTGATTATATCTGTAAAAATGGAAGGGTAAGAAGTAGTCCAACTCGACAAATCAGTGACTTGCATTCTGTTATTGCTTTTGCAACCTTCCTGTTAAATGAAGATTTTTTTCTTATGTATTCAGCGTTAATTTTGCTGTTAGCAATTAAAATATACTTTATGGTTACATCTTGTTTTGAAACTAAAACCAATTATGTGTTCAACATGTTTGAGATCTTTATGTATGACTTTGTAGCATTTTTCCACTCTACTGAAGAATAAATGATACTGATATGTTAATTTACAATTACTGTGTACAAACTGAATTTGTGACAGGTACAAACAAAATGATGTAAGCTATGAAGCTTTCTGCTACAAGTACTGATCATCTGCTGTATAAAGTATCAAAACTAGAAATGATAACTTTCAGTCATGGGAAAGTTTCCTTTAATTCATATAGAGGAAAACCAAGTTATCCCTCCACTGTCTCAAAATTGTTTAAAACCTTTGTTTGTCTTAGCTTGATGAGAAGGAAAGTAGACGTCTGTTCCAGCAAATCCTTTCTGGTGTGGATTACTGTCACAGGCATATGGTAGTACATAGAGATCTGAAGCCTGAAAATGTGCTGCTTGATGCACACATGAATGCCAAGATAGCTGACTTTGGTAAGCATTGCTATTTAATATCTGATCACATTTCTAGTTTTATTTAGATCCTGTTAATTACTATGGGAACTAATAAAGTATGTATACTTGAATATCCTGGTGGTAGGACATAATACAAGAGAATCTCAATGTAAACCAAAATTGGGTTCTTGCATATGTGTCGCATTTATTTTCCTTTAAAGCTTTCTCTTCAAGTTGGGTATTTTCTGTGACTGGGTGAAATTGTGAACTGTCTTGTTTGGTCTTGCTTAATGTTTTCTCAAATAATTCTAAATAGTTCCCCACCTTGCTACTTCAGAACTGACTCTTATTGTCTGTTTCTTTATCTGTAAAATGCAGATGCTTAGCTCTCTTGTAAGTACAGTGCAAGGAAAGTTCATCATATTTAAGAACCACATTGCTCTAGTAAAATACACTACTTCTAAAAAACTGCTATAAATTCACTTTGAAAACTCAAAAGATGTGATTGAAAAATGTCATTAAAACATAAAAGGTAAAATAAGAACAATTTTGCAAATTCCTGTGCTTTTCGCTATATAGCTGCCTAACTAATCAGAAACCTTAATTGTTTATACTGGCTGTTTAACACAGCTGCTGCAAAGACCGGTAGCTGGTTCTTGGAACTGTCTGAATTAGGAAACCTGACCATATAAGCATAGTAAGGTATTCATACTATTGTAGGCATAGTAGAAAATACTTGCCCTTGTAAAGCACTTGGAGGTCTCTGAAAGATGTTAGGTAATGCTAAGTATTCTAAATATATCTTAAAAGTATGGTGTTCAAGTATATGGGTGCAAGTATGAAAACTAGCCAAGCTGTGTTCTTTTGTATTGAAGCAGGAAGGGTTAATCGGGACACTTTTACTGTGGGCCCATGGGGCCCCCTCTACCCCCCTGTACACTTTTAGTTTGCCTTAAGCTATATTTCGTAAGCTGCATTTTGCACAAGGAGACTCTGTCCTGTGCTGAGGGCATCAGACCTTAAAGGAACCACAACAAACACTGGGTCCCGATTAACCCTTCCTGCTTCAGTATTCTTCCCCCCCCCCTCCCCCCCCAGTAAAAGGGCATCATTTCTGTCTGAGTTCTCTGGCCTATACTGATTTTGATTATGCAGCCCTCACAGAGAAAACTAGAAGATATTTTCCACAACTATTCTAGAAGTGGTAATTCTTTACCGATCATAGGATATGCTAAAGGCTGGTGGATGAGGATGGCCTAGTTCTAAAGTACACTTTAATCACTAACAGTATAGCTTGATTTTTAAACTGCAGTGTTTCAAAAACCTGTTAAAGCAGTGTCAGTGTCTAAATTGTGGTGAAGCTGTGTGTACTCCTCAGTTCCCTTATTCTATATAACCTTTTAAACAATTTTAGGCAATTCTGTGGTAGCATCTTCCACTTTGGCATTTAGAAGTGAATATGGTTTTTAAGATGCTTTCTTGTTAACGACCAAAATCCTATGCTGATATGCTGCTCTCTCCCTTAGAGCAGCTTTGTTCTCTATCATGCTTGTGTAATCAAGAATGGGTTGGCTTTTGTCTTGGAATTAATATGTTTTAGAACATTCCTAGGTTGTGTGCAATAATGGATTGATGTTACTCAAGTTTCTGGTAAACTAAATGCAGGATCATGTGGCATTCTCATATAAAAATCTCAATAATTCCAAACAATACTGCCTTCTTACTGAGATAAATTAGTTAACTTTCTAATTTGAATTACTAGTAATTTGTTCTAGGTGGTATATGCAGTGTGAAATCACTTTGCTCTCTGAATCTTTAGTAGTTACTCTTATATACTTTCAGGTCTATCAAATATGATGTCAGATGGAGAATTTTTAAGAACAAGCTGTGGTTCCCCTAACTATGCTGCACCAGAAGTAATTTCAGGAAGGTAGTTTCTTTTCTATTGAATGCATGTGTACACATACTTCAGTCATTTTGCTGCTTAATTCTAAAGGCTTCAAAACTAGCGCAATTCAAAAGCTTGATGCTAAGAAAGTATGGGCTGAACTCTTAATTGCCTTGATAATTTTTCATAAACATTTAGGACTTCGATGAACTAACTTTGAATAGTTTTTGTAAGGTGGAGGTCATGTGTGATGTCCCAAATCCAATGTATGCAGTGTGCCTGAATTGGTTTTAAAAATCTCATTTACAGCTCAGATCTTGGAAGTAGAGGTACAGATAGAAATACAGGCAAAGTCTACTGTGAAGTTGAATAGCAGTGAAATATCTGCTGCAGAATAGATATTCAGTCTGAATTTATTCAGTGATTGTCAAATCTGCTGCTTTATGCTACCCACCCTAATATCTCTTGCTAATTGGAGGCCAAATGTATGTTTTATTCAGGCAGTAGCATAGAAGATATGACAAGTTTTGCTATAAGGGCTTGTCTTAAACTTAGCCTCCAAGACTTGGAGGCTAGATGACTACATAGATTGCACTCAAACAGTGATAGTATAACATGGGCTTTCTTGGTAGCAGGTGCAAGTTTCTTTCAGTTTGCCATTGTCTTGAATTGTATCTGTGGATTATTTTTATAAAATATTGAGAAAAACTAAGTACTTCTGCCCTAGCTTTTGTTACATATTTGAAGGGGAAGGACACTAGAGTTCAAAGCATAGCACTGAAATGGTATAGTAATTGCAGATTAGTTGTCCAAAGTTCACACACTCTTAATTAACATGATACAATGTAAGAATGTAGAAAAAAAACCTATTTAAATGTGTTAAGCACAAATTGCTAATAGTTACCTTTTTCCCAGATTATATGCAGGTCCAGAAGTAGATATTTGGAGCAGTGGGGTTATTCTCTATGCTTTGTTATGTGGAACACTTCCATTTGATGATGATCATGTGCCAACCCTTTTTAAGAAGATATGTGATGGTATCTTTTATACTCCTCAGTACCTGAATGCATCTGTATCTAGTCTTCTGAAACACATGCTGCAAGTAGATCCAATGAAGAGAGCAACAATCAGAAACATTAGGTAAAACATTAACTGATGTCTGATCACAGGATGCTGGAATGGTAATTTTAGTGAAAATATGCAGAACAAAGAAATCATTCATATAGCTTGTCCCTGTTTTATAGTCTAAGATGAAAAATTCAGCTTTTGGTGGTTTGGCTTCAGCTCTGGCTCTCATCTGTGGCAAATGAAGTATCTATTGGAGGTCACAGTAAAACAAATATATATGCTACATATAAACATTCTGAGAAATTCTAGATTTAAGACTGCTAAAGCAAACCTGTTTACCTGCAGAATGGTTTGCAAAAACTGTACTCTATTGACTTCTCTGGACAAGAAAATTATTTTCTGTTAAGAACTGCTGTTTTGTATTGTGAATGTCTGAGGAGAAGTTATGACTCTTTAACCTGATAACTATCGCTTTTATTCATATTTCTGCAGACTGAGCAAAATAATCTGTTGAGACAGAATATTCCATGTATAAGATGGCATTCTATTCTAGCTTCAAAACCCAGTGAATGAGTGACAATTAGTACATAGAAAACTGATAAGTTTAAGCTTGTAGCTACAGATAGCCATCATGGACTCCAGATTTCAAGATAGGATTCTGGAGGGGGTGAGCACTTTGACAAGTGCACAGTGAGTAGAATTAAAAAAAAAGGTAGCTGATAAAGCTGTCCTTCATGCAGTAGCATAGTTAGGTTTTCCTGTTTTCTTTGTAAGAAGCTCTAAGGAGAGAGCTCTGAAATACTACCTTAGTGAAAATGCTTCCTCTTTTAGGGTTCGAAGTTAGCAAGTTAGCAATGTTCGTGTTCTTTCAGTAAAACAAAAAAAGTGTTACATATATCCCTTACTACTATATTACAATGGGGAGTACGTTCATAGAATCATAGAATGTTAAGGGGTTGGAATGGACCTTAAAGATCATCTAGTACCAACTCCCCCTGCCATGTGCAGGGACATCTACTAGACCAGGTTGCTCAAAGCCTTATCCAACCTGGCTTTGAACACTGCCAGGGTTGGGGCATCCACAACCTCCCTGGGCAACCTGTGCCAGTGTCTCGCCACCCTCGCAGTAAAGAATTTCTTCCTAATCTAAATTTCCCCTCTTTCAATTTGTACCCATTACTCCTTGTCCTGTCACTACAGTTCCTGATGAAGACTCCCTCTCTGGCTGCCCTGTAGGCCCCTTCAGATACTGGAAGGTTGCTATGAGGTCTTCATGCAACTTTCTCTTCTCCAGGCTGAACAGCCCCAACTCTCAGCCTGCCTTCATAGGGGAGATGCTCCAGTCCTCTTATCATCTTCGTGGTCTCCTATGGACTTGTTCCAACAGTTCCATGCCCTTCTTATATTGGGGGCATCAGAAGTTTACGCAGTGCTCCAGGTGGGGTCACACAAGAGTCCTCTACAGGGCTGCTCTCAATCCCTTCTCCACCCAACCTGTAGGTGTGTCTGGGATTGCCACACCCTAGGTGTAGGACCTTGCACTTGGCTTTGTTGAACTTCATGAGGTTTGCATCAGCTCATCTCAAGCCTGTCAAGTTCCCTCTTGTCATGGGTTTGCTGTGGGCCAATTTCCTCTCACTCCCCACACAATTGCTATAAGTTGAGAGAAGGTTTATGCAGACAAAAGAGATCTGATTGGGGAGAATAATATTAAGATTTATTACTAGCAAGATAAAAACTAAAGAACTATATATATTACAATTCTAATTAGGCAGAAATGCTATGTATTTACAAAAATACCCCTCCCCCCTTTGTATCAGCTCAGGAGAAGCAGTCTCTTTTCCATTTCCAGAGCTACAGGTCTTTTAAATAATATTGCAGCACTCAAAAGTTCTTCTTCTATTATCTCTAGGACAACAACTCCGATTTGTTGCAGCTGGAACTCTTTCTCTTCTATGTCGACCTCAGGGCTGGGCCTACCCCTTCCTGTGCTAAGACCAGAGGCTGGGGAGTTACCCAGGCCCTGTGGGGATCTTGCATGGACTGCAAGGAGACAATTGCTTACCATGGATCTTCACCACAGGATCACAAGGGATAATGGCTTTTGAGTCCACCCCTGTTTCCTGTGGGGTCTCGCCTCACGAGAGAGTCTTTGAAGGACCTCTCTAGTGTGAGTCACCTTTCGGGCAACAGTTCTTCCATTCTCTGCTGTCCCTTAAGGTCACAAATTCATCTGCCCCAGCCTGGATCCCTCACTGAGATCTCAAGCCTACCCGGGCCGTCTCGCTCCAGAGTAGGTCTCTCTCTCTCTCCATGGGCCACAGGTCTCCAGCAGGACTCTGTTTTATCTAGGCCTCCCACGAAGTCACATCTTCATGCATTCCTCTGCTTCAGCGTGGGCTCCTTCATGAGCTGCAGAGGGTTGTCTCTGCTCCCCAACAGTTTGCCACAGGTGGCAGGGATTTTAGTTTTCAGTCTTTTCCGTGCTAAAGGGAGAGAGAGTGAGAGGGGGAGAGAAGGAGTTCCCTCCCTTCACGTCTTTTCGGCTGCCAGCTTTGACCTTGAAGGCTTTGTTATCTCTGCCTGGAATTCCTTCTGCAGTGTTTCTTGTCCAAGTTTTTCTCTAAAGTTTTTTTTTCTACTCTGTTACAGGAGAGAAGGGGCGCCTGCCCCCCCTCGCCCGTGCCAGACTTGGCCTGGAGTGGGGGGCGCATGCCCAGGCCCAACAGGGCCGGCTGCTACGCTGGTTCTCCCATTTTTCTTCTGCCCCACCACCTTCTCTTCCATTTTCTTAAATATGTAATTGGCAGAGATGTTACCCAAACTTTTGATTGGCTTTTTCTCCTGAAATCCACCTGAAAAAAACTATTTTCAGCCCCAGGGGGGCTAGTTGGCAAACCCATGACACCTCTGGATGGCCAATCCCTTCTCTCCAGCATGTTAACTGCACCTCACAGCTTGGTGTTGTCAGTGAACTTGCTGAGGGTGTCCTCGATCCCACTGTCCATGTTGCTGACAAAGATGTTGAACAGTATCGGCCCCAGTACCAACCCCTGAGGGACACCACTTGTTGCTGGTCTCCACATGGTCAATGAGCCATTGAGTACAACTCTTTGAGTGTGACCATCCAGCCAGTTCTTTATCCACCAAGTGGTTCATCCATCAAATCCATGTCTCTCCAATTTGGAGACAAGGATGTTGTGCAGGACAGTGTCCAATGCTTTGCATAAGTCCAGGTAGATGATGTCAGCTGCTCTGCCCCATCCACCAGTGCTGCAGCCCCAGCATAGAAGGTCACCAAATTTGTCAGGCATGATTTCCCCTTCATAAAGCCATGTTGGCTGTTACCAATCACCTCTTTGTTTTCCATGTGCCTTAGCATAGTTTTCAGGAGAATGTGCTCCATGATCTTGCCTGGCACAGAGGTGACACTGACTGGTCTGTAGTTCCCTGGGTCTTCCACTTTCCCCTTTTTAAAAATGGGGGTTATATTTCCCTCAGGAAACTCCTCGGGAACTTCACCTGATTACCACCATTTTTCAAAAACAATGGATAGTGGCTTAGCAACTTGGTCTGCCAGCTCCCTTAGGACCCATGGATGGTTCTTATTGGTTCCCATGGACTTGTGCACATTCTGGTTCCTTAGATGGTCTTGAACCTGATCCTCTCCTACAGTAGGCTCAGCTTTATTCTTCCAGTCCCTGCATTTGCCTTTCCTGACTTGAGCAGTGTGGCTGGAGCACTTGCTGTTGAAGACTGAGGCACAGAAGTCATTGAGAAGACTGGCAGAAATCAAAGCACTGAGAAGTAAACATTGTAAAACTTAAGCTAAGTTCCTATCCACTCATCTAAGTAATGTTAAATAAGTCTGAAAGAGAAGTGATGTGAAAAAAGATGTTGAAAGTTGTTGACTACAGAGCATGGCTGGACTTTGAATCCTAAACAATTTTGTCCTGTTAGCTATGAGACATCATCTCAGTTTAAAGGACAAACTTTTAATTGAATACCTTAATTTTTCTAGGGGTGTGTGTATGCAAGGGAAGAGGTCCACTGCAACAAATAGTAACAAAATACTCAGTTATTCAGCTAGAGCTGTGCTTTATAGTCATATGGGAAAAGCTTTTTCTACTTCCAAATTAACTGCTTGCTTATGATGAAAGTACATTTTGCTCAATGCACTTGTGCTCAGGTGTGTTCTCAGGCTCTTACTGACTAGAGCTTGATCAATATAACTGCTCTTAAATCTGTAGCAAGTCATCATGCCATAGAGCAGGATACTTTTAAAATTAGCATCATGCCATATCCTTTGACTAGTTAAGCAGCTTACTCTAGGCACATATAACTACTTTATTTTTTTTCTGTATGACTGGGCAACCTAAGTATTTGGTCCCTTCTATATATTTCCTTTTCCCTCTTAGCCCATGGATACACTAGTAAAGAGGTACAGATTGACTCTTCCGTAGCCTTCCCTCTACTCTTTAAGGCTTGAAGAGAGAGCAGGGGGGTTTCTGAATGAAAAAATTATAGGCAGCTTGTTGGGGGTAGAGACTGTGTGACTTCAATGTTAAAGCATTACCAAAGAAACTGTTCAGTATCAATATTTCTTTAATTTGTTATGTATGTACTTGGGGAGGGACAGCTTGATTAGATAGCATACAGATTTCAGTTGAAAATATATCAAAACTAAAATAAGCAAAGTAGTAAAAAGAAAAACAAACCACAAACCCAATGCCAAAGAACAACTATTTATATAAAAGGGTGGTTGACTTATACAAAGATATCATTGGAAATCAGATAGTTGAAACCCTTAGAGGAAAGAGGCATTTTTTAGTCTCCTGCAAAATGACTAGCAAAATCTTGTAAAGGAGATAATTACTTTTCATTATGTACCGTTGTGCTGCACAGAAGGGGACTTGGACTGACAACCGTTGATCTTTTCTGTATAGATGAAGAATAATTTTATTTTTAAAAATATTCAATACTGAAAAGGCTTGCTGTACTTCTATATACTCAGACTTTATTTTTAAATCTAGAGAACATGAATGGTTTAAGCAGGACCTTCCCAAATACCTGTTTCCTGAAGACCCGTCATATAGTTCTACCATGATTGATGATGAAGCCTTAAAAGAAGTTTGTGAGAAGTTTGAATGCACTGAAGAGGAAGTGCTAAGTTGTCTATACAGCCAAAATCATCAGGACCCTTTAGTGGTTGCTTATCACCTCATTATAGATAATAGAAGAATAATGAATGAGGCCAAAGACTTCTACTTGGCTACAAGCCCACTGGATTCTTTTCTTGATGATCACAATCTGTCTCGACCTCATCCTGAAAGAGTGCCATTCTTAGTAGCTGAAGCACCACGTCCCCGCCATACTCTTGATGAACTGAATCCACAGAAGTCAAAACACCAAAGTGTAAGAAAAGCGAAGTGGCACTTGGGAATACGGAGTCAGAGTCGACCAAATGATATCATGGCTGAAGTTTGTCGAGCAATTAAACAACTGGATTATGAATGGAAGGTAAAAAATAAAGGTTCTTTACAGCAGACATCAGTAAATTTTTGTTTGAGCTGTGTAATTACATAACCTAGAAGTCTGAAACTGTTCTCCTGTGCTGTGGAAGATAGCCTCATGTGCCTGTACTGACGGCTTGTGTTTGGCTGTGCAGGAAGGGTTTTGGGGGAGACTATTTATGCTGACAGGAAAAATCTTGCTAATGTGTTAAACCTTTCTACTGGGGCTCTGGGAATGTGTTGGGTGGGGTGTTTTGTTTGGGGTTTCTTGGTGTGTTTTTGTTGGTAAAAAAAAAAAAAAAGCTCTGATAGGTAAGCCTGAAATCACTTGATAATATCAGTGAGTTGAAATAAGAAAAACAATGTGCAGTGCTTCTTAAGCAGTTCTAGTTACTAAGTCAAATCTCTCATGTACTAGGTTGTAAATCCATACTATTTGCGTGTTCGAAGGAAGAATCCAGTGACAAATGCATATTCCAAAATGAGTCTACAATTGTATCAGGTGGACAGCAGGACATACTTACTGGACTTCCGTAGCATTGATGGTATGTAAAGACTTACATAAGTCAATGGACTTGTAAGGGGAATAATTTTAAATTAATTAATTAATTTAAGCCAAACTAGATCTGCATTAATGTTTCTTTATTCCTTCCTGGTCTAGTGTTCCTATGATCAGATGGTTAGCTGTTTCATTCTTTAAATAATCACTTTTTAGCTACATCAACTCCAGAACTGCTCCATTTTGCATCTGCACCAGCACTAATACTGCTGGTGCAAAAGGGGAAGGATTGTGGGAGGTAAGTTTTGGATCAACCTAAACTGGTTTTGCAGCCTCACCCCCAAATTTAAATGTTAATTTAGATCTGAAGTATGGGAACATGTTTTCCTAGTGAAGATAAAGCTTGGCATTTAGGCATGCAAATTTGACTTGAGCTGTATGTTGCTGTACTGGGTCTGGCTGAGATGGAGCTAATTTTCTCCATAGCAGCTGGTATGGTGCTGTTTATTTTATCTGTGACTGTGTTTTTGATCTGTGACTAAAACAGTGTTCTGGCTATTGCTGACCAGTACTTGCATAGTATCTAGTCTTTCTGTTTTCTCACTGTGGTGCACCCAATGAGTAGGCTGGGGGTGAACAAGAAGTTGTGAGGGCACATAACCTGAACAGCTGACCAGGCTTGATCAAAGTGATATTCCATGTTATATGATGTCACACTTAGCAAAAAATCTGAGTGGATGGGAGTTTGGGGAAGGTAACTATTGCTCAAGAGACTGGCTGTGCATTAGTCTGCTTGCAGGAGGTGGCAAGTAATTGCCTTTGCATCACTTTTTTTTTTTTCTTTCTTCCTTCATCTTATTAAACTGTGTTGATCTATGAGTTTGCTTGCTTTTGTCTTTCCAATTTTCTTCCTCCATTGCACTAAGGTAGGGTGGAGTGAATGAAGGGCTGGCTGGGGGTTTAGCTGCCAGCCAGGTCCAACCCATCAATGCTAGTAGTAAACAAAATTTGAGATGGGAATTGCACGCTTGCAGTAAGTGAAGTCTTGAAAGCAGTTGGACAGATCTGTAGAAAAAACTTTTATAGAGTGACAGTAACACAGCATACACTTCTGTTGTGGTTTAAGCCCAGCTGGTAAATAAGCCCCACACAGCCACTCCTTCACTTTCCCCAGGTAGAATGGGAGAGAGAATCAGAAGGGTAAAAGTGAGAAAACTCGTGGGTTGAAAGACAGTTTAATAGTGAAAGCAAAAGCCACATGTGCAAGCAAAGTGAAACAAGGAATTTGGTCACTACTTCCCATGGGCAGGGTGGTGGTCAGCCATTTCCATCATTCATAAGAGTTACTTGGGAAGACAAATGCCATCAACTCCAAACATCCTCCACTTTTTTCTTCTTCCCCCAGCTTTATATGCTGAGCATGACACCATATGATCTGGAATATCCCTTTGGTCAGTTGGAGTCAGCTGTCCCAGCTGTGTCCCCTTCCAACTCCTTGTGCACCCCCAACCTCCTCGCTGGTGGGGCTATGTGAGAAGCAGAAAAGGCTTTGATGCTGTGCAAGCCCTGCTCAGCAATAATAAAAACATCCCTGTGTTATCGGCACTGTTTCCAGCACAAATCCAAAACATAGCCCCATGCTAGCTAATAAGAAGAAAATTAACTCTATCCCAGCTAAATCTGCAAGTCGGGTACCTTCCTGAAAATGGAGGAGCAAATATAGACTGGCCATAATGCTTGTTTAAGAGCATAGTAGACTAAAGCAAATTATTTATAGCCAATGGTGTACATGATATGCCTAGGAAAGCATGTGGCATGGGAAAAGGATTCACTGGAATATGGCTGGATCATAGTATAGGATGGCTAAGACTGAGTTTCGTGACAGTTTAACCTGATCTGACTTGGCACTGCAATTCTTGCCTTGTCCCTTCTGACAATACAAGTGCTTGCTTAGATCTAGTAGTATTTGATACAGAGGATTAATCACTTTCCTGCACTGACCTCTACTGTAGTATAAGATGAATGCCATTCCTGTTGGAGGGGAGATGACTGCTTAAGAGCCATGCAGCTAGGGCAGCTGCAGTCCTGGCCTCAACTCTTGAGGAAATACAACCCAATGGCATGAATTTGGCATATCTCTTCCAATAGTGAAGCTGATCTGACTTTCCCTCCATCACAGCTAACTGTTCTCTATTCCTCTTACAAACTGTAGTTAAAGTAGCTTTGATGTGAAAACTCCTATGTTCACTAACTTCCCCTGGAAATAACTTAATGAAAAATATGGTGAGTGCTGGTCTAAACTAGATCAGATAGTCCTGGAGCACAGTTCAGAGCACAAGAATAATTTGCATAAGGACATTTGATTCTGTGTTGCTATATGTATAAGCTTTTATTTTGTATCAACTATATACAGTTGCAAAAGCTGTTTATGTATTAATCAGGATTTAAAAAAAAATATTAAAAGTGTGAAAAGGGGAAGAAGTTTGCTGTTCCTATGACTTATTTGGTACTGATGACTAATTTCCCTCCTCCATTTGCTCCCCAGATGAAATTACTGAAGCAAAATCTGGGACTGCAACTCCACAGAGATCAGGTTCTGTGAGCAACTGTAGATCCTGTCAAAAAGATTCAGATGCTGATGCACAAGGAAAATCTGCAGATATATCCCTTACACCATCAGTGATCTCTTCACTTGATTCTTCTAAAGCTGACTTAACTCCAAGACCAGGGAGTCATACAATAGAGTTCTTTGAGATGTGTGCAAATCTTATTAAAATACTTGCACAATAATTTTGAAAATGGGCTTATTTCTTTGATAGCAATAAGTATGCCTAAATCACAGTCAGATGCTTCCAGTTATAATCAAGTTAAATTAACTAAGGTGCTGAAAAAACTAGCCCCAGAATGCAATTTGCAGAGGGATTGGAATGATTATGGGCAGTTATGTATATTATTTTGAAGCTGAATTCTGATTTTCTGCTGTCCAATAGCATAATACAGGTACAGGAAGTCACATGCTCTTGGGACAGTGTTCATAACACATTAGAATTCATATAATATTTAAGTTATGCTGGCCTTCTTGGTTTTTTCACTGGTAATACATACATCTAATGCACTGTAAGTAAATGTATACTTACTAGTTCAATGACTTAAGTATGACTTGTTGATCATCATCTATAGTTGTGCCTCAGTTGATCAGAATTGTCAGCATCTAACAATAATGTGTTAAAACTGCTGTTTCCTCTCCCTTATTTGGCAGTAAATGATAAAGGATAGTTTTAATGCATTTGTCCTGGTTTTAGCTAGTGTAGAGTTAATTTCTTCTCAGTAGGTGTTAGAGTGCTGTGTTTTAGTTTCAGAATGAGAATGGTGTTGATAACATACTGATGATTTGGTTTCTGCTAAGTCATGTTTATCTTAAGTAAAGGACTCTTTTCCCTTGTCTCATGCCCTGCCAGTGGGAGGGAGCATAGCTGGGACAGGTGACCCGAACTGACCAAAGGGATATCCCACACCATAGAATGTCATGACTGGTATATAAACTTGGGAGAGTTAACTGGAAGGGGCTGATCTGGGCTCAGGAAGAGGGGTTTGGTGTCGGTCAGTGGGTGGTGAGCAATTGCATTGTGCATCACTTGTTTGTTTCCTTTTTATTATAATTATTATTATTTAGCATAATTTTTGTATTTTACTTTATTTTCAATTATTAAACTGTTCTTATCTCAACATACAAGTTTTATTTCAATTCTTCTCCCCATTCTACCAGGGTGGGAGGGACAGAGGGGGGGGTTGAGCGAGGGGCTGCATGGTGTTTAATTTCCATCTGAGCTTAAACCATGGCAACATTATAATTTACTGAATTTAATAATGGATAAATTTTATTCAATCCATGCAAATCCAGCCAGGTGGAAATACATGTAGGTGGTTTGTAACGCGCTAAGAGTTAAATTCTGTGGGCTGTAAGCAGAACAATTTGGGCCACAACAGTGGTGAGAGACAATGCTGAGAAGACTTGGCACTCTGTGGGCTGAAACAAAATGTGCCTCTGTGAAGGAGAACTGTCACCAGATTCCTTATCTGCAGATTTACTAGCTCATATCTTAGTATGGTAGCAGCACAGCAGCTCCCCACTGCTACTGCAGGCTGAGAATCCTGTTCCTTATAAACATGTGCATGTAGTTAAGAACACAGCTCTAAGGCCTCTTGCATGCTATTCCAGAACCTAAAATTTTCACTGTTATAAATATGTTCATACTTTGATATAGCTGTTTATATTATATGCTAACAGCGTATATTATATAGAATCCCCTTTGCAGTTGTAAATACATATATAGGTTTAGGTTTTCCCAAGACACCTTTATAGTGAACTGTGCCATTCAAATTGTGGCATTAATAGTCCAACTTTTCAACTAAACATTTAAAACTGATCATGACAACTTACCACAGAATGGTTTGGGTTGGAAGGGACCTTAAAGATCATTTAGTTCCAACCCCCTGTCATGGGCAGGGACACCTACCACTAGACCAGTTTACTTGGAGTCACATCCAACCTGGCCTTGAACACTTCCAGGGATGGGGCATCTACAACCTCTGTGGGCAACTTGTGCCAGTGCCTCACCACTCTTATAGTAAAGAAATTCTTCCTAATATCTAATCTAAACCTGTCCTCCTTGAGCTTAAGGCCATTTCCCCTTGTCCTATCACTACATGCTCTTGTTAAAAGTCCTTTTCCAGCACTCTGGTCCCCCTTTAGGTACTGGAATGTGCTATAAGGTCTCCCCAGAGCCTTCCCTTCTTTAGGCTGAACAGCCCCAACTCTCTCAGCCTCTCTTCATAGGATAAGTGCTCCAGCCCTGTGAACAACTTAGTGGCCTCCTCTGGACTTGCTCCAACAGTACAGCTGGACACAGTACTCCATGTGGGGTCTCACAAGAGCAGAGTAGAGGGGGAGAATCACCTCCCTTGACTGGCTGGTCACACTTTTTTGATGCAGCCCAGGACATGGTTGGCTTTCTGGGCTGCAAGTGTGCATGGCCGAGGCATGTTTGGTCGGTATTGGGACCAGTGTTATTTATTATCTTCATTAATGACATAGATAAAAGGATTGAGTGCACCCTCAGCAAGTTCACAGATGACACCAAGCTGAGTGGTGCGGTTGACACTCCTGAAGGACGGGGCCATCCAGAGAGACCTGGACAAGCTTGAGAAGTTGGTCCATGGGGATCTCATGAGTTTTATCAAGACTTAAGTGCAAGGTGCTGTACCTGGGTTGGGGCAACCCCCAGTATCAATCCAGGCTGGGGGATGAACAAATCAAGAGCAGCCCTGCTGAGAAGGACTTGGGAGTGCTGGTAGATGAGAGGCTGGACATGAGCTGGCAATGTGTGTTTTCAGCCCAGAAACCGTTTCCTGGGCTGCATCAAAATAGGAGTGGCCACCAGGCTGAGGGAGGTGATTCTGCCCCTCTACTCTCTTTTGGTGAGACCCCACCTTCAGTGCTGCATCCAGCTCTAGGGTCCCCAGCACAGGAAGGACTCAGACCTGTTGGAGCAAGTTCAGAGGAAGGCCACAAAGATGATCAGAGGGATGGAACACCTCTCCTATGAGGAAAGGCTGAGAGAATTCAGTTTGTTCAGCCTGGAAAAGAGAAGGCTTTGGGGTGACCTAATTGTGGCCTTCCAGTACCTGAAGAGAGCCAACAAGAAGACACATCTTCCATAGAAAAGCATTTTAAGACACACCGAAAACAAGTCACTACTGATGCTAAAGTTATATATAAAGATGTTATAACAGGTGACTGGGTTGGCCCTGTGCCACTTATTACCTGGGGAAGGGGACATGTTTGTGTCTCTACAGGTTCCAGTCCTAAGTGGATTCCACCACATCTGGTGAAGTTCCACAACAGCAATTAACCATCACCATGATCTTCCTCCTCATCATCCTCACCTTAAACCCTCAAACTGTCAGCTCGTACCCGCCGTGTCCTACGCCTCCACTACCAGACTGGATTACAACTGATCACACCAACGTGTGGTTCACTCTAGCTAAGTCTCTGAATACTGATTCTGTGTGCCTCTCAGTTTCAGACCCCACCAACCCTTTAAAAACCTGTTTACTTGCAATACTCTGGTCCCCTAAAAAATGGTCTAAATTTCAAGATCAATTCTCTATTTGGTGTAATGGTGTAGACAGAAACAAAAAACAAGGTGTGCCCTGTTTCCCCAAACCCCAGAAACCTCTCTACAAGCCCTCAACAATTACCCTGAAGAATTAGAAATTTTAGGTACTCTCCCCTTAGCACACTGTTTCTATTTTAATACAAAAGGTGAGGAGAAAAGCAAGGAGAAGTTTAATGTAACATCTCGTGGAGCCTATTCCAGTTTTGAATTCTGGTGCAAATTCCTTTTAAAACTGAATCTCCCTCCCTGTCTGTCGCTCTCCCTAAAGGAATATTCCTTATCTGTGGATTCCGGGTATGGAAATCAATCTCGAAAGAGGCAGTTGGAGGGCCTTGCACCTTTGGGCAACTAGCATTTTATAACCTGGCTAAAACATTGCCCTCCCTAGCTGACGTTCCCCCCAAAAGGATCACAAAACGTGAAATATCAATTAAAAAGAATACAGTCCCCCAAGCAGCTCCTGACACTCTGCCTCACCACCATCCTCTCTTCAAATCCCAAAATTTGCAACAATTCAAAGAGGACTGTGATTCTAACCTCAATTTTTGGTCCCATAGTTGAGACATGTGGGGCAGTTTACTCATTCCAGCAATTGGGACCTCATATGCCCTAAATTTACTAGCCAGCATGGGATGTTGGTTAGCCAAAGAGGCAAATGCTACAAGTGCAGCACTAGAAAACCTATTATTAGATTCACAACAGATTGAAAAAGCTACTTTAAAAAATAGAGCTGCCATAGATTTTCTGTTGTTAGTTAACGGACGTGGATGTAGTGAGTTTGAAGGCCTGTGTTGTTTAAATTTCTCAGACCACTCTCAGTCCATCCATGCCCAAATAAACAAGCCTCACTCACATATTGAACAAATTCAAAAATCAGATGATGTTAGCTTGGATGGCATGTTTATTTGGTTATTTTTAAAAGGACTTTCATCACCCATAAAAAATTTGTTATTATTTCTGCTTTTAGGATTGTTTGTGTTATTAATCCTTCTGTGTGTTCTCCCCTGCATAGTCAAATGTCTTCAAGGTTTGGTGATGCATAATGTTTCTCAAGTCTATGTTTCTTTATTAAATAAAAACGGAGGAATTGTGGGAAACAATGTGGAATACATGCAATGGAAGCATCAGTCGTAGAGGAAAAACAGATGCCGCCCGGGAGAACTCTTGTAGTCAGCACGGAGAAGTCTCATGTTACCAAATCATTGTTCCGCGTTACCCTATGTTATGTAACCTCTCTCCCCCCCACCATCCCATGCTGCCAGCCGGATGGAATGCAGTTCCTGTTTTCCCCCAGAGCCGGGTCATGCCCCTATCCTAACCCCGTTGGCTGTTTCCCCTGCCTTTCCCCAGTTCCTGGGTTCTTACTGGGTATTACCCTCCTGGTCCCTCTCTTTGGCTGGCCGAGTAGCCAAGCCTCTCCCTTCCTTCCAGCATCCTTATAAGCCACGGGAAACTTGAATAAACTCTCTTTGCCTCCTGCCTGCCTGCGTGCCGTGTGGTCACTGCTGCATCCCGCAGTTGAGATCACAGCACAGCAATTCCATCCCAGGGAGGTGAAAAACAGAGAGCATTTTCCTTGCAATCCTGTCAGACATATGCCATGAGATATGT